GCCAAGTGATCGCGCATCCACTAAGCATGGTGTCAGTGGCAGTGGCGAAGGCCATGGTCATGTGCGTTTCTTGTTCTGTTATTCTGGTTTTTTAATCTGATTTTGTATTTTTTGTATAATTTTCTTTAACTGTTTTGGCCTTCTTTAAGAATTTTTTCTTTTGTATTTTATATTTTTTTTCATTTCCATGTTTTTTTTAAATTTTTATTAACCTGTGTTATCTTTCTTCTATTTTATATTATTATTATTATTTGTAGTCTTTTGTCTGTTTTTTAATTCTTTATATGGTTTTATCCTTTTCCGTATCGATATTTTCTCCCTTTATTCGCTGAGGTTGCACTCCTTTGTAGCCGGTGGAAGTGCTCTTCTCGGGTTACCTCGAGAATGTGTGCACATAGCGGAGAGAAACGCTGGCGTGCTCGCATTCGTTTTCAGCCCATTGATTGGCTTACACGTGTATCGATAGCATGGCTCTCTGGATTCTCACAATTTTGACCCACATACCATTCGTGAAAAGCACATTCATACACTCATGCAAGCAGTCTCATAACTGGCAGTATGTGACATAGGGAGCTTTGTAAATACGGTTGGCACCTTCATATCGTTACCCTATGTGATGCATTTCCATTTTTCTCAGCACGGTGAGTGTTAAACGAAGTTTTATATTCCTTATAATATATACTACTCACACCAGTCAGTCTCTCGCCTTAAGCCTCAAATGAAATTTATTTTAGACGATAGTTAATGGTTACATTAAAAAACGAGGAATCTCACTGCAATGGATGTTTTTAAAGCGGGCATTTTGTCTTCTAGCGGTTTGAACTCAACTAGACGTATTTTGCAAGGAATTGTTGGTTAAAATAAATAGCTTATGGAAATGAGTGAGTTGTCATCTTCCAACTAGAAAATTCACAGATTTAACACATTGTATCAACCTTAAACATTCACTATAGCATTCGCATGCTAAGATTTCGGAAGGCATAAACACACGGTGGCAAAATAAGATTAAGGCTTGACATGGAGGAGGAAACCCGCAGCAAAGGTTAAAAGAAGCAAGATTAAACACAGTCGTATTAAAAGGAAATAATCTACGCCACGCTACTTCAGAATTCCCATCTTGTGTCGTGGTGACGTAAACCCAGATGCACATCGACTTAATTTACTAACCTGGCTGTTTATTGGAGAGTTCATTTTGCCTTAGGAGAAGTGAAGTGAAACTTAAGGCTTAAAGAATGCTACCCTGGGATCTATCAAAGGCGATGCCCCTTAGGCACACATTGTAAAACGGATGCTTAAATGTTTCAGTGGTGCATTCAAAAATGAATGAGTAAATTTCAAGGTGGGCAAATAGATTTTAGCATTTTAAATCAGTTATAGCGCAGCTGCCGCATCCAGTTACCTGAATTTAATAGACAACTATCCAAAATGTTGGTTTGATCGTTACTTCAGTTTTGGTGTGTGCCTTGGGTAATGTTTCCCAAATGCAAATGCCTGATTACAATCCAATAAAAGGTACCCGTTTGTGCATGTTAGCTTCATTTCCTTGCCTTACATCAAGACTAGTTTAGAGCATTTGTAAGTGTGTTAAAACTGAACTTAATGATTGCTGTGTGATTGAAACTACAAATTCATGACTATAACAAAATGAAATTGTTTGAGCTTTCTTTTTTTAGAGAGCCAACTTAATCCACGTATATTTTTGCGTGTTGAATAAAGTTCACCTTATGACATTCAGAAATACCGAGAAATTTCGGTCTTCTGTATGGAATCTGTTTATTTAGCAATGCGCGGATAGTGTCGCACTAACTAATATCGCTTAAGATGGCACGAATACGAAGCATTATGCGACGTGAAGACATGGAATAGGTGTTGGAATTCACATTCTCGGTAACTTCACCTCATTTAACTCTGGTGCACTTTATATTGATGAATTTATGCTGTTTCACCAGTTCGACATTTTGAATTTTAATGATTGGAGGATTTAGCGCATATTTTAGTTGATGTTATTTATGTACACTGCATCAAAAGAAGTCATCCCATCATGATGAACTCAGCAGACAGCGATCTCTCCGGTTTGTGGGATTTTACTTTCTTGACCTCTCATTAAGCGTAGGAGAAATTTTAGTTGGCAACTGGCTTATGACATCACCAAGTAACAAATGCTAACACTTGCATCAATAATGTTTGCGAATAAGAATATGAAAGCCTAGTTATTTAGAAAAAGTGCTGCATAGATGTTGGAATAATGAGTTGTAGAACTTGATTTTTACATCGTATGCGGCAAGCATTTGAAGGAATTTGAGATACAGATGAAACTCTAGACTCTCTCCTTCTAGTCCGGTGTGCAAATGTTATTGCCAGTATGTCGACCACCATCAAAAGCAAAGAACATTTTAAAGGTGCTGAGTATATGTTCAGGTTAAAACGATGGAGTTCTCACTAAATGCTGCACGAATAGTGAAATTTTTGAAATACAATTTCTACTTCTTTGCAAAAGTACCATTTTTATGGAATTGAAGTCAGAGGTAAGGATAGCAGTTTCCAAGTTGTCAGCAGCTCTCCCATAATAGCAGTTACCTACTAAGTTACAATCGTTGCATGCTTGCCTCTTCAAGCTGGCTAATAGTTGCTTAAGCAGTAACTACATTGAAAATTCTCAGCAATTCTTTACGGGATATCGAGACTCTCGTGAAACCGGATACTGTAAGAATGACTGAATTGGACTCATCGTTTTCTTCAAAATGTAACTTATGTTGTAACTGAATGCCCCAAAGAGATTTGCCTGCAGCAAGCAAAATTATCTTTCGTCCGAAAAAAGTTAACACTAGGCATAGTGGTTTGGCAGGGTAAACACTATTTTTATTGGTCTGGACACAAAGTAGCCTCTGCATTATAGGCTGTTTTTCGAACCACTTGTTTCATGTGATGTTTTCTAAAAACGTTATCTCATCGTCATATTAAATTTCCGGGTACTTTGGAATTCCAGATTGCCGTTTTACCGGTAATATTACACATTAAAAATTCAATTACGCTATCATTCTTATTTTCACCCAAGGAATACTACCTATTGTTCTGCTGCTACACCTGAACTTCACATGTTCGGGATCTCTTCGACTAAGTAGGCAGTCAAGAGGCCATGAAAGAGAATACGAAGCTCCAGTGATCAGTATGCGTTCCATCTCACCTCACTGGCTCAACATTCAATGTACTATCCCTAAAAGCTCATCAGAGTTCAAGGTCTTTATCACTTGTCCCGCTCTACCCGCTCCCTGTTACGAAAATTGCCTACCCACTCAGTCCTGCTCTGAAATCAGCTCTAGAGACGTCGAATGCGTACCCGATGGAACCGCAGTCAACTGCACTGAAGTAGTGAATCCGGATGGAAGCAAGTTGACGAGCCTCTGGATCGATAAACGCAGTCCGCGACTTCATGGCTCTTGGATTTGCACAAGCCTGGGAGTGAAGAGTAGTGTTGTTAATGTAGGGGTTTTGCTTTTCTGAAGTCTTAAGTCAATTTTGGCTCATCTGGCTGTAGCTACCTACAATGCAACCTCTATAGTCATTTTGAAGAAAATCATGCGGAATTAAAAGCGCATCCACAATTTCGGACCCATAGGAAAAGTGTTTAGCGTTTGCGTTTTCTATCGAGAGCTATTATCATAAGAGGAACTATGCATAGGGCTTTGTAGTGAGAATGCCCAAGTTCATACGATCAATTCCCCAATTAAACATTGGCAATAAGTCTGTGTGAAAGTCCATTTTGAAACTAGAATTGTCTTTAATGCTAGAAGAGATCGAATCCACTCTCAAGTAGAAGCACGTGCATTGAAATTCACAGCAGCAGTCTATAAAATCCCAGTAGCAGGTAAAAAAGAAGTCATTAAAGCTTTCAACTACATGACCTACGCTTCTTAATGGATTTCTCCTCACCAATTCAGGTAGAACCTGAACTGGAAGAAAGTCCAGTCGTGTCCCCAAACTTAGAGGTGTTGGAAGAGTCACAGTCCTCCAACAATACCGAAGCTATGGAATCGGATAAGCTAAACGATGTCGCCGGACAGAAGGAGGAGAATGGAAACCCTCCATTTTACGCTATTACATGTATTTAATTCTTATGCACTCATATGATTTGACATAAAACGATAATAGTCTTAAAATCACTATAAAAATTGAAGGTTCAGTTGCATTAAATAGCAGTAATTGTTACATGAACTATGAGGTTCTTTAAAATAACACTTAGGAACTCTACAAAATAACGCGAAACGATTGTTTTGTAGCGTTTCTTTCACGAACTCCCTGGATATTTTGCCTGATTGCAGTGTTTATTGTCTCCGTTACGGTGAACATTATCTTGTGGTGTAGATGGTGTCTCGTTTGCTTCTTTACAGGTAAAGTTTACACTTGCTCTTTATTCGTTTCTAGCCAAATACTTTTGCTTGTGCGATTCGAAAGTATTTATATGTCTTTCGTATCTCTGTTACATAACAAGAATAGGTGTGAAACATGATCTGAAGACTTTCACGTAAATTTCCTGGTTGGTAATTATACGGAATCTAACCATAGACAACTAATTACCGATGATGTTGGTTGATCGGCATCGTGTCGTGCGCGTAGTCTTGCTTTGATCTTACAGCGCGTAGAAGAAAGTACAATGAAGACCAAAAAACGCTTGGTGACATGATATGCCTTCCCACGCAAATGAGCCGAACTCAATCTGGGCTATGGGAGAACGATGTCTATCCAAGTTCCTTCAACGATAATTTGAGAGAACCCTATTATCTAAAAGAAGATTCAAACAAAATCCAACATTTTGGGACGTTTGGTCCGAGTAACTTTACCTATGAACAGACACAGGCACAAAATCACACTGACTTTACCGATATGGCATTTCCTCCGTACTTCAATACGGTCCAGCCTAACAACCTATGGAGAACTCGAAGCGCCGTTGCAACATTCTCCCCTGGAAGCTCCTCTATGGCTGGCGCTTATCCAAACCATCTTCGAACTGATGCGGCCTCCCTCAATCAGATGACTTCACAAAGCGATGATCCGCCTCCACCACTACCACCACAACCATCAATTCTCCTTAATCAATCCTTGCACAAAATTGGAGATACGAAACAACCTCTAAAGCCTAACACAAATCTTGCTCCTGGAATTACTGCCGTTTATGATGACGTGGCCAGCAGCTCTTCGATAACAATGGTTTCAAAAGATATAAAAAAGCCAAGCCTTCAAATGGAACCACAGTTACCCAGCTTGGTAGAGTTAGAAAAGCCGGAGAATCGTTCAATTCCACAAACGAATCGAATCTGAAGACCAAGCTTGATGGCGATATAAGCGTTTCGAAATAGGTCACCTAAGGGATTCCACAACTACATTTTGTCTGCCATAAGGACTTCAAAGAATGCATTCCCTAAATTGTTATGACAAATTTTAATATCGTACGAAAATAAATCAGTGTCTTATTTTTTATTTAGTTAAAATAAGTTTAATGAAATTTTAGTGCAGCCAGAAGGGTAACTAAGTCAAACCATTAATCACTTTGCCTCTGCAGTAGTGAGCATGCGGAAGCAAAAGAAGGAAGGGTATAAATCGAAATAATTCGATTAAGTGCACTGAAAATGCCAAAAGCTGTAAACTATACTTTGTTGCTTAGACGGGAACTTTATTTGTCTGAATCTAGCACGTGCCCAAGTGCGCAATGGCTTTAATTAAACTTCGCAAGATCACGTGAGCTTTAGCTCTCCCGTCTATTTACGGTCTGTCCAGCATTTGTGCAATACCATTTAGGTAGAAACGAAACTAAATGTCTAGGTGTTGGTATTGTATGTACTTGTCATCAGCTCACTGTATTGCTCCTCGATTAGCAGTGAAATGTTATTATCCTTTCATATAACCGAAGTTTTGCTATTGAGGTCTGCTTTTTTTGTGATTTAAAATGCTGCGTTACATAGGAAGCAGTAGTAGGAAAGAGCTTACAAAGCATCAAGAGGCAGATCTCTGATACGAAACTTGTTCTATTGATTCTTACTGTAGTCTTGGTTCACACCTACATGCATTATATGCTTAAAGCTGTTTGTTTCCAGGCTCACAAATGGAGCTTCATGCGGAAAGTGGACTCAAGGTTTTCATCGTCTATTCTATCTTTTTAGTTATTTATAGATTGCTGCAAGAATATTGGCTCGCGAGAAACCCAGCATATTTGAAGCCTTGTTTGTGGACCCAGTTGGATCCAACTTTGGTCCTGATATTGCTGACTTTGCGTTCCCTAAAGATGCCTTTTCGATGAAACAGAAAGTCATCTTTAACACTATTTTAGTTCATATTTTCCCATCTTATGTAAATGGCGAGAAAACAGAGGGACTGGAGGGCAAATGCATTCTCATCGATACGAACTCCTCCTTCCCCATCCTGGCATTTACCTTATTCACTGAAAAATTCCTGTCTACGCGCTACCCAGCAACTTCTCACTCGGCACTGGTTGATGAAGTAAACGAATTTCTGACCCACCTTCCAGATCTTGAATCGATTGTACGTAATAAACGCGCGCACGACCACTGAGTGCATCCTCGCCCTGTTGACACTACGCAATGTAATAAAATTCGACGCGAAGTACCTACTAGTAATCGACTCCATATCTTCCCGCTTCGGATTATTCCCAAAAAAAGAGATTGCACTAGCCCAGCTGATATTCTTTCATTTTCTGAGACACACTGTCGACACTTTCCATATCCAGTGCATATGTACCCGCATGCTTCTCTCGGCTAAGGTGGGTTTCCTCTTTCGTAAAGTACCTCACTCTCAGGACTTGAGGCGTAACACATTACCTTTCTACTACCGCCCGAACCAGCGCGTCGTTTTCCAAGATGGTGATCCTCAAAGCCGACAGATAACGGTTGAAATAACAGATGGGGACGGACCTGCATTTAGTTCTGCCTTCAAGTTGTTTACCCAGGTGTGAATATCAACATAAAGGTTTTACTTCTGCTTCCGCTTTCCCATGATAAAAGCCGCATATGCGTGCTCGGCATTTCAACAATATTAAATAATTTACGTAGGTACAATCAGACAGGCCTTTATGAGCCTTCTGTGCAGACACCGCAGTAATTAAAGTTACTATTTGTATAGATGTAGTGTGCCAATAGTTGCAAGTAAGGGTGGGGTATTGTGCCAGATTAAAGAGTAAAAAAATAAAAACTTCCGACAACATCGACGGTTCAGAGTGGCCCATTGGTGGAGTATGAGTTGGCCTCCGTGCCCAGCGTATCACTGGTCTGGAATACACCTCGGTGGCGTTCTTCAGCATCGTCTTCGGTTCGATGCTGGCCGGCAAGGAAGTTGGTAGTCTGACCGCCGGTATCCATCGCCACTGATCCAACAGAAGAGGGTGGCATTATAGTGCCGGGCTGCCTATGGAAGTCGCTACGCAGAAGCTCCATAAGAAGAGAGTTTGCCGAAAGGTAAGGGGAAAGATCCTTATCAACAAGGAGCTCACGAGCCATTGCACTAGTTCTTTGTAGCTCGGGTATCCTCACGAGAAGTTCAGTAAATTTGCTTGGAACATCAGCACACGATGTAGCATTGTAATCCATCAACAGCTGGCTTACACATTCCTGGAACTGTTTAACCTGACGCGCTGCCTTGAGATTAACAAGTTCGCCTTGCATGAGAAGGAAGACCTTTAAACACGCAAAATCTATGAGTCCAAAGCGAAGCCGTTTAAGGTCCTGAGTCAGGCGAAGTAAGCTGTCCACAAGACCTTCAGCGCCCATCTCACGAGCAGCGTCAAGGTTGATGCACTTCGTCGAAGTTAGTCGAATCTCCTGTTAAATAATCAAATGAATTGTGAGTTTAGAGCCGCACCGACCACACTCTCATTGACCACAACGTGGAAAGCAGTTACTGAGTCCCTACGGGGGAACGCTGCTCTCGCAAAATGCCGCATAAATTGAATCGCTATGACCAACAGCATGGAAACTAATACAATGAAACCAAAGAAACTATCTTTAATACTCAGACTAACACATGGATAGAAGAGTTCCTCAAGAAGATATGTTTTTTGGAAGTCATCTCATGTAAGCCGAGAGATCTTTATATCAACTAATCGGTGTACTCCGTTCTCCCGACTTGTAGAACACTGAAGGTTTTAGCAGCCATCTGCTGCGAAATCGACTTTAAGTGCTACCGCCGACATGGTGCAGAACAGTCAAGAAGTCAAAACATATTTTGGCTTTGTATCAATGTTGGTACTCCCCCATCACAATTTTTAAGGGAAGCGATGGGATGAAAAGGTAGTAAACCCACCGTTGGTGTGGGAAGTGACTTCCAACAACAGTCCAAACAGAGAAGATCCGCCCAGCAATTTTGGAGAAGCAATATCTGGTCATCTGTATCTAAATTACTAAAGACGGGGAGTGCCCGAGACCATCTAACAATGCGATAAAGACGCTGATCAGCGAGGTTGAGCAAAGCCCGATAAACAGCTGCCTCTTCTTCCGTTACACTAGGAGGCAATGTGCCGATGCCGATTTGAGAGGCATCGGTGCTGTCGAAATCCAGCCGTTCCTCTGGCTCAGATTCCACTGATTCTTCAACTTTGATAATCTCGCGAAGTATCTAAAAGACATTGAGATAGACAATAACTGACGCCAACATGTTTGGTAACCGCGTCGCACAGTAATATGCCAGTTTTGTAGCGCTTAATTTCGAGGGTCAACCAAGCAAAATCGCACCAACAAAGAACCGAAGCATGACATTTGAATTTCTGTTTAATGTTTTTGGCACACCTCACCTTAGGCATGTCAATATTTTCTTGGTTTCGCACAGGGATTCTGTAGACTGATTCATCGTGAAATGCGGAAGATGAGGCCGGGCCGCTGCCTCCAGTATCCTCCAACACTGCTGGGTCCAAGTAAACACCACCGCCAACATCCTCGGAGGCAGGTATTTCGTAGGCCACCCCACTGCCTACACCAAGGGACATTATATGCACACCATCGATTTTCGAGAATGGCTCCGTAGTAGCACTTGAAGTGGTACTGACGACGGAGTTGGGAAGAGGTGCAATAGCGGGAAGAGTCGAGACACCACTTGTGGAGGTTCCTTTCAGTTCGCATTTCACCTCGCCTCCTCCGGAGGCACGTGCAGCCAGCTGGCGCAGGTAGCGCGACCCTGGATACATACTGCGACCGCCACGAGTTCTGTCTGAGCGAATTGCTGTAAAATAAAAACATGAGAGTGGATGCTGTCACCTCCAACTCACGACCCTGATTGTCCACGAGGATAACTACATACCTTCCATCCGCATTCCTTTTTCAAGGCACTTGACGAAGCGGCAGGCAGGACATTTCTTGCGCGAAGTGGCCGTAATATCACAAAGGGAGGACGGTGTAGCCATATGGCATGCATAACGCTTTGAATTCTGCACGGTGCGCTTGAAGAAACCCTTGCATGACTCGCAGCAAAAGATGCCGTAGTGATAACCTGATATTTTGTCCCCACAAATTGGGCAAGGACCCAGTTTTTCAAATTGTTTAACGTACTGCTGCCATGAAGATTCCTTCTATAGCGATAAAAATGATTACTTGAGTAAGTTTAAATAAAGTTGGAGATAAACCCTTTAACAGAGGTTCACACCAAAATCTATTCCATCTTGAAGGGAAACCAGCAATGTATGAAAAGCCAGAACTCAAAGCTACGATAAAGAAAAAGCCGTAGTGAGAGGTCCAGAACCCACCCCCGAGGAACCAAGGCTACCACCACGTGAGACTCGGACAGATGATGTTGAAGTGTTGGTGGAGAAGGTGGCAGAGGTAGCGGCAGCTGCAATTGCGGGCGGTGCTGGCGGAAGGCGGTTATTGTGCTGTTGAACGAAAGGACGCACCGGCACAATAGGAGCTGGATTTTGATGTTGCTGCTGCAGAACAACCACGCTACGCTCACCGTCCTTCAGCATGCTGGCTGTTTTCAAAGAGAAACTACTGATCGGTGTCGAAGTTGCTGACGGATTGCCCGCATGCTGCAGTATTATATCTGTAGATGATGAGACATGAACTGCAACAAAGGCCATCTCAATACTCATGAAAATACAATGAGGCTGGCCTACTAATGAATAATACTTCTAGCTGATAACCGTACAATTACAAACACTAATAAGCGCTGTTAAAGAATATAAATCTTTAGAGATAATAATGTTCATATGCTTCATAGTAAATACTACACTAGTCCACATCGGTACTTTATTCATGGTACCAAGCAATCCCAAGAACACATTAAAATAAACGCCGAAAATAGCGCATTGTATGCAACTCGAGAATCAGTCACACCCCAAAGTCTGATAGGTTTGAAGATTAAACAACATTGAAGTAGAAAAGGTACATTCGATGCATCAACAAGACTAATGGCGATTTCATAGCTTTAAAAGCCTGGGAATTGCATGGCCTACTAACTATACACAAGTAGGTAAAAAGATGTGAACAAACCAACTCACGCTGACCTCCCTGGTTGACAACACGAATTGGAGCCGAGGAAGAGGCAGAAGAGGGAGAATTCAAAGGAGCAACACTAATTTGTTGTGTCTGCTGAGTTGCCGGTATAAGAATGTAGGCAGGCTGTTGCCCTTGACCTGATTGCTGCAAATGCTGACCATTAGTTGATGTTAAAATGTGATATGTGGCAGGGGTTCCCAAGCCCTTATGTTCTGCCTGCCCTTGTGCAGAAGTAGATTGGTTATGCGCATCACTCTTGTTTTGAATTGGACCATTCGCTGTTTTGATAAACTGCAAACAAAATAAAAGCCAACACTAAAACAGTTAATAAGACACTGCGAAAATTATTAAATGCCCATTAAGCAATACACTCGACATAAAACTTAGTAAAGTACTGGGGCTAATCCTCAATTAACTAGAGAATTGTGATAAAGAACATGCAATATGATACAAGAGAAAGGCAATGTACGATTTTGAGGAAATCATTATGAGAACAAAACTTACGGTGGTTTTTTGCAAATTGCTCGGCCCAGTGGTGGCTGATGCCTGCTGAACAGTTACATATTTAATAGAATGCGTTTGTGGTGCTTTCACGGAACACGATGTTTGCTGAGCCGGGAGCTCCTCAGAACTTCCTTCGGACGACCTTTCCTTGGCTTTTTCTTGAGAACCTTTAACCTACAAATAGCAGAAGACATTGAATTGACTGTATGCACATTGATGATGACCTCACCTCTATAATAATTTTGCCATCATCTTTAAGTTGACCAGATTGGGAGAGGTGTACAATTAATTCCTGCATCTTTTGTTGACTAATCGAGTTCCCCTGCATACTTTCAGGAAGCTGTATTGTTACGTGAGTCGTGTTCAGCTTTGTCCCTGAATCATGTACAGAAGAGATATCATCGTTGTTTGTCTCAACTACTTCATTTCCTTTCGTTTCAGATCTATCCGAGTCGGAGAGGCTGCACTGAAACGATGCTGACATCACCAATTCCGATGAATATCTAAAGGTAAGTAATCAAATGCAACTTATTTCGTGTAAATCAAGTACATAAGAATCACAATACGAGGTCAAGCAAGACCAACCAGTGAGAAAATAAAGTTCTGTAATGTATGCTATCAATTATAGTCAACAGGAAACAGGGAAATTTCAAAATGTAAGGTACACGGCCATCAAACATTATAAGCAACCAAAATAGAGATGCCAATTTAGTAGAATGTACGCATCAACAGTAAATTACCATGTATTTACAATGCTGTTGCCTAAAGGACAGTTGAGATATAAGCTCAGTTTGATCAAGAGTAAAACTCAAAATGATTGGAATTAATGTAAAAATGATAAAAAGGTACAATAAACCATTGGCCCCCTTGACCAAGGTCAATTATTAAATCGCGCCGAACGCCACAGTGTCCTACAGCGCGACCTTAAAATGTGACCTTCGAAAATGGAGATGAAACGGAGGTAGCTTCGATAGATTAGCATTTACAGTGAGCGAAAAACATGACGGTTGTTAATGCTGCTGCTGGGGAACAGTAGACAACCTTACATCCGTAAAAGAGACCGCAATCACCACTAATGGCCGCTGTATTCAGATTGTCCTTGACGCAATTCAGAGCCAATTTAAACAAATAGTCAAATCAGGCAAACAGTTTATAGTAAAACCCAAAATGACGTGGCATGATTTTTTCTTAAAAAATATAGCTTACTTTTATTTTGCATCTGTTAATTGCTTTTTTGTAGAATTAGTTAGATAATTCTCTAGAAATCAACTTTTCACGGACAACCCAATTTATAAAGTTTCCCCTCTTGGTTATTTATAATTATAAGTTAGTATAAATAACTTGAAGGATGTGTTATGAGTTATGCTAGTCTAGTCGTGCAATATGTATTTCAACTTCCTTACGTTTGCTTGCGTTTAGACGTTCATCTTCCCTTTTTGCGCAATACTATGCATACCCATCCCCTGAACCACCACCTCTTATATCCTAGCAGCTGGTGGTATTGTGCATTTGCGTCGATCTACATTAGTACCTTGCATTACTAATACTCGAGAAAACCGATGTGATGAGATACGGCTTAGGGACCCTGTTAAATCGATAATGGTAAGAGAATTAATAGTACAATGGAATAAAAGGCGTAGTATCGCTTGACTTCCCACCGGGTAGACATGGGCATTAAGTGGAGCTGAATACATGTATTCCAGAGAGCAAAGGAAGTAAGACTGAGCTCTGTAATGCTTTGTCTATGTGACTACCTGACGTTCGAAGTTTGTCTGACCCTAGTACACGTGGGCTGGCTACTCACCGCATCTGTATCTTATTCCCCATTCTTCTTACAGCGATGCCTAATAAATCGTCTACAGCCAACTTCCTCTTAAAGTCTGAGAACCAGGGACCAGAGGGTAGACAGGCAGTAACTACACTGGCCTTCGGCCACGCTCAGGCTCCATTTTCCATGTCGTCTTCCGAATACATGTATTTACCCTCACTTATGCCTTCTTCCATCCTATGGGAAGCCTCGGGACGATACGCTGGTGGTAGCGGAAAGCGAGCCCCACATTTCTTTAATAACTTTTAGGTATAAAGTGCTTTTGAAGAACTTCTGCTGCAACCCAGGTAAGGTCTCTCTCTGCGTCATGTTCTTCGCTTGTTAAAAGGGACATAGTGTCTGGGAAAACTCTATTGCCCAACAGACACCGCTGTCTGACTGACATCCTTTGTGTTTGTGTTGCCAAACTTTGCCAATTCATTGACG